CGCTATGACATTGTGTTTTTATATGCAGCGGTGCTTAGAAACGCAAGAGAGTAGTGTCTTAGCACCATAACTCTTTGTTATACAGTAACTCTAAAAGCGGCGCTAGTATGGGCAGTCTCTCCATGGCCCCTTTCTTTTTCAAGTTGTCGAGGAGAGTTTTAACGAGTATGTTCCAAGGAAAATTTTCAAAAAGCAAATTAGGTTTTAGATAAGACATTACCTAGATATTTCACCCTCATTTTGAGGGGACTTCATGTATGAGTTCATGTTTCCTGTAGGCGCAAGCCTCTATAGTTAATTACCTCTCGCAATAACGAGAGAGAACTTTCGATTAAGGCTAATCATCAAACGGATACATAGTATTTGGCATATAGTACTAGTGTGTTTAGGTATTTTAAATTAAAAATTCACCATCTTATACTTAAAGCGAATGATAGGGGGAATGATGATAGAGCCAATCAAGATCTCATGGTTCCGTTATCCTAAGTCATCATGATCCTTAGTCTACTTAATCAGAGGAGGTAGTTAACCCAACCTAACCGAAGGATTCTTGTCGGCAGTCATGGGTTGCTTCGTCCAAGGGTACCTTGTAGACTTAGGGTGAATGTTTGTTAAAGGTAATAAATTTGACTTCACCTTAGCTAACAGAGAGCTTTGTGCTCTATCAATCATATCACATTGATTCATTACTCAATGATTAGCATTGTTGGGGAACATACGGGCTCTAACCATGATCATTGCTATCACTTGGCGGCAAAATCACCATGTCAGAGGGTCCCGGTCATAACATGTGGCATCATTTGACGACGAAATCACAAGTTAGAGGAAACATGTCATGTCCTTACTTGCAAGAGGCGATTTAAAAATAAATTTTAGTTATATTCTCGACTAGACATTCATTTTTTATGAGTTGAAGTGATTTTCAAATTTGTCCATCTCAGAATACTGTCGCGGAGGATGGATGAGCATTTTGCTTTAAGTATTTAGATGACAACATTTCAATTTTAAATATTAATATTATTAATAGATGTAGAGATTTAGATCTTTGAGGATTAAACCCTCCGGTTGAGATTTACATTTAATACAGTCATTATCGGGGTGACATTATAGTCACTTTAAATGCTTGTATTTTCTAAGAAAAGAGAGAAAGTAAAGGGAAGCCCTAAAACTGGTCGGCTCATCTTTGGACAACAACTAATGGCCCTATATATCTCCATATTAGAGACAAATGAGATTCAAATTGAAGAGAAGTAGATCCCAAAAATCAACTTTTTAGTGTTATAACATAAACATATGTCGAATTGTCATCAAAGAGGTCTTCCCATTTGGAGAACAACTATTTGACTTATCATGCTAAATAGTCTAAGCGATGTGAAAAGATGACTAAATTTATAGAGGTGGCCGCAAAAACTAGTGATACGGGGACGCTAACTATGGAGGAATGCAATCTTTTATTTGTTGTTTATAAAAATATATTTGAAACTTGTCATGCATTGTGGATGACCATTTCTTCTCTTAATCAAGATAAATAAAGTCATGGGAATTAAGAAAGTCATGAGAATTGAGATAATCCAACCATAATCAAAGACTATCATGAAAAGATTGAGGCTGAGCTCAGTAGCATAAGGAATGAGATGGCAATAAAGCACCTTTAAGATCCCATAGAAAATTTTGTTGAGCTCAACCTTAATTTTTCCTTAATAATCTTTGATTATGATAATATTATTTTCATTTCCAAGACCCTCTTCTTCTGCACAATAAAAGAAATGATCTTCCTCTAGGCATAATAAATGCTTGTTATATTTTTATAGACAACAAATAGAAGATTGCATTCCTCCATAATTTGTTACCCCGCATCAATAATTTTTTTCACCTTCTTGAACTCAACCATCTCTTCATAACACGATTCGACAAATAGATATTCTTCACATGGAAAGCCTTTGTTGATGATATTTTTACTCGTACATTTTATTATAAGGATTTTCAGGATCTTGTTCTCCTCAATCTGAATATATTTTTTCTTAAGTGGAGATCCTCAGGACCAAGATTAAAGAGGAACAAGAGTGAAGGAAAATGTCAGCCTATCTTCAAAGGCAGCTGATGGATTTAATGCCCTCTGCATCAGAGATAAAGAAGATCTACATCGAGAAGTAGATCAACAAATCCTCATAATATAAATCATAAGTAAAAATGCCATTAAAGTCTTCCCGTGAGGAGAATGTCTATTTGGTTGAATTAACTGAACAAGACGTGTAAAGAAACTGAAAAAAAATATTGATGCATTGAAGCTACATGTTTGGAGGTACACAATATTTTTATGTCAGCTTTTCAAAGTTAGGATTCAGCTAAATTTGAGAGGTGCATGGGCGAGTGGTACCACAAAAGAGAGAGGATCTCAGCAAGTGTATGGCATCATGTGAGAGACTGAGCGAGCAAACGAGATCAAGTGTGAGAGAGTGTGGCAGGCCATGAACGAGGAGCTGAAGCATAGGTGGGCTAGTGGCAGTACGTGATCACTCAAGCAGGTGAAGTGTGATATCACATAAGCAAAGTAGACCTAGTATGACTAGAGGAAAGTTGGTGCAATTGACAGTGCAAGCGAGCGGAACCACAAAGGATTTTAAAATGATACACATCAGATCTTTGCAGATCCTTGGATTTCAAAACACAAAGAAGCCCATAGTTGTTCGCTAAGTGAGAGCAAAATTTTGGTCTTGCGGATCTTAAGTGATCTTAACGGGATATCAGGAGAAAGAGGAAGATTTAGAGCAAATTTTAATATCATAATATAGAGAAGAATATGTATCATATAAGGTGGTGATCGATTAATTTGCATAATCAAATTTATACTAAGAAAGAAGCAATTAATTATATTCCTAAAAGCTAAATATTCACTGCTATCTGAATTAAGTATATAAATTTCTAGCCGTAACTGACAGAGGGTAATTGACATGATAATTAATGCATAATCAATACATATCATACGATAACTAATGCATATTCAATGCACATCTCTCCAGTGGAATCATAGACATCTAACGAGGGTTTAAGGTGGCAAAGGAAGAAGTGTTAGGCAGTTAGCAAAAGATGCATGTAGAAGTTAATTTATTTTTTTAAACTAATTTATTTTTGTAGACTTGAAGTTATTAGCAACTCTATAGTCTATTGTTTATTTTAAATAATCTAATTGAAAGAAGAAAATCCATATAGTTCCCCAAAACATTGATCTTGGGTTGGCCTATTGCAAGCCAATATGATAAGACATATCACGTCTATGGGTCTTATCAGGTTGGGTTGCGGCAACCCATTTTTCGTATCACAAATGTGATTTTGGGGGGAAATTTATCATAAAATAGAGCTATAAAAATTGATCGATAAGTCAATTGAATTAGTTTTGGGAATGTCTAGGAATTTTTCTGCTTATTTTCATGTGCATGTCTATTTAGCCATGTATTCTATGTGATTATATATCCATAAAACTCAGATATGATAGACAGATAGAGTGCTAGTCAGACAGCTGTATAGAGTAGTGCTCCAATAATTAGATCTAGTTCTATTTCATGGTTATTAATTTTAATTTTCTTTTTTGAAAAGAAATAAAATTGCACGTATTTTTATGCAAACTTAACAAATATTTCTCTGGATTATACTATTAGAGTAGTTCTTTACAAATTTTCATATCTTATTTTGTGCCATGACAGAACATATGACAAATTTCTTGATCATGTCCCAAGGTTAAGCTGTATTGATGTGGACTGTCACTGAGAATGTAATACTGTCAATAAGTAGTATTCTTGAATCTTTATTTTGTTGCCAAGTTATACTTAGTAAGTCTATTTTGTTCTTATATATTGGACTCTATAAACTAACCAATAAGTTTCAATATGAATATCAAATTGACATCCCTAAATATTCCAAACAGAATCATTCATCACTCTTGCATTTCAACACATCACGGACGAAAGAAAATGAACCTTAATCTATAGGTGTCACTACATGTCCTGACGGCATTGAGACCCTATTTGAATTTCAATTAAACTGATAGGTAATCTAAGTAAAAATAAGTTAATTTTTAAAAACCAAAATTAAGATCATAATGAAAAGAAATTACCAAATTTTTTTGGCCTAGAGCAAGTTTAATATTTGAAGAGCTAAATTGGGGTAAGAGATCATTGAGGATTTTGTTGTGTATCTCAATTGCGGTTAACTTCTTTACTCTTAATGTGACAAAAACAAAATAAAAGTAAATATAAAAACTAGCCATAAATGGTACACTAGAGTAAGATATCCAAATTCTATTTTTATTGAAGGGGTCATTAGATTAATGTATATCATAACAGCATCTAAATTTTATCCAAATCTCAATCAAGTAAGTTAAATGATTCAATGTATCATGTAAGAATCAATAATGAAGGATCTATCTCCTAGGATGAACAGGTTATCAAACTCCTTTAGCTTAAGATGGCTACGGAGTGAAAGGGGCTTAGATTTTTTTGAAATCAAGTTCAATATGAACTAAAGCAAAGATGTTTGGCCTATTCAAATCTCTTAAATATTCCACATAGCATGGAATCTCTTGAAATTGGGAAAAGAGAAAAATCTGATGGAGAGATTCAAGCTGAATCTTCAATAGCAAACCTTCCCATTGGATCAACATGAAGAGGTCATCTTGAACTATATGGTCTGGGAACTAATCAACATGAAGAGAAATTTGCTACAAGAGGTCGTACAACGCCAAATCATCTATAGCGGCTTGCATAATGTCTTCAAGAATGGAATTGTTGATGTGATTCATCATCGTGAATCTATTGGCCCTTTCCGATTATACTCGGTTCTATAATCAAATTTAAGTTTTTTAATGAGAAAATATTATTCAGGAGTTTGAATGTTTAATTCATCATTTACAGAATAATTTTTTGGTCGGATTTGATTGTAAATTTGGTGCCTACGAGAAACTAGCACCATTTGGAAATGGCTTTGATGATTACAAATAGTTCATGTTCATATGAAATTTGAAATTGGAGTTGACGTAGAAGAATCCGAAATAGTATCTCAGCTGACTATGGTGAGCGCAAAGCTACTTTAATATATACAATTGAAATCCATCCAAAAGATCAAATTAGTCACATAATTGATTTAACTTGTTTTCCTTTCCAACAAGGAAGGTTAATGAAGACGAGCTTCTATACGGATTTCAGGTATAAGACCCGATTCGAAACAACTTTACCAGAATGCGGCATTGACATCAGAAATAAAGTAAGATAGTTGTCTGAATTTTTGTTGATGATCCTGAATTGAATAGATATAAATCAATTTCGTTAATTCCTCGCTAAGATCTAGCTAGTGTGAGGGACCAAAATGAGAGCTAAAAAGCTGCAAGAATTCCCCGTATATAAAGTAAGGTTGTGGTTCCACTTCTCAAGAAAATTTGGGCATGTCTTGCTTCACGGCACGAAAAGGGTTTGACCCCAATAAATCAGAAGAAGAAGAGCGTGTGTTAGAAATATTACCTGCGAATATTACGACGCTGCCGTGGCATATCTGGTCAGTTTTGGCATCCAATTTTGTTGAATTTTAGAAGAAGATCTCCAGTGAAGTGGAATTGTTCTTCATAGAGACCGAGGCATTCGTCACTGATTTCACGGTGGAACGAGTGGTTGACAGTGTGTATCAGGCTTCCTTCAACGGAGATTGATTCCGTAGGGTTCTTGAATCAAAATGAGCCAGCTCGAGAATGGCGATTCAAGCGAGAGAAATGAACACGCAGAAATCGAGAACTGTAAGATCATCTCCAACCGAACGCTTAACGCTCGTTTGCCGTCCGCCATTCGCTCCATCCGACGGTGAACAGAGCAACGCCCAGACGCAAATTTTATTTTATTTTTTTAAATCAAAAAATTATTATAAATTGGTTGAAATTTAAATTATGTTATTAAAATGTTGAGTGATGTTATTTTTTTGGTAAAATATTGTATTTAAAATTTCCTTTTTAAATGTACTATGTTATTACTTTTATAATTTAATATATTTTATATAATTAATTTGTTTTTGTTAAAAAAATTATAAGTAGCTCTAATTTAAAATTTTGATAAATATAAAGATACGATTAAAAATAAATATAAAATAAAATATGAGAGAGCATATAAATATAATATTCTTTTTTTGCGTAAGTAAATATAATTTTATTAGAGATTAATTATTGCATTTTAAAATATTATTGTATTTTGGAGTGGAAAATGAGTTTTTAAATTCAAGAAGGCCTAAGAACTATAAGGTATATAATTAATAAAAATATATAAATAAGCATATTCTTATAAAAACACATGAAATCCCTATATTAAGATAATTAAAAAAAAGTATTTGTTTATTTTTTATATAAAGTAAATTAAATATAAATAATTTATGTGCTGATTTGAAATGCCCTAACTGTCTACTTTTTATTAAGGGCTGTTTGGTTGGATTCAAAATAGATGCAATTATTCCAAATGAAAGGATTTAAATATTTTGGTTTGGTTAAATGAATAAAGAATGCTAAACCCTAAAGTAAAAAAAAAAAATTAAAAAAAAAACTATTGACTTGAAGTATAAAACTTGTTCAAGTGAAAACAACCAGAAAGGAAAAGTAGGATGAATTTCATTCAACAAAAAGCAGATGTGACTAATTTTGCTTCAAAATAAATAAGATGAGTATGTCTTAAGCCAAATTTAATTAGGGATGTAAGACAAATCTTGCTAAATTATTAGACATGTTCATTAAGTTTTAAGAAAATATATCATCTATATTTTGACAAATCAATATTGATATGTTATCAAAGATTGACTTAATCGAATATGAATCTCGATACATATTTAAATTAGAAATTAACATAATTAAATTCATAAACATCTAAACTTTGATTTCTATAGTTAAATTAAAATGTAGATAAACTTATCGAAACTAAAATAGATTTGATCTGACTCCAAATTAGTCCAAATTAAACATTTAAAGCATAATTGAAAACTTCAAGAGAGCAATTGGAAAATCAAATGAATTTAAAAGCTTGCAAGCTCATGATCAAATCAAGCATCTTGATGAGATTAATTCTTCGAGCCAAAAATTGTGTAATTATGGCATTATGAAGGCATTTAAATGTTGAATAAATAGTATATGATTAAAAGAATTAATATAGATCATCTGATAGAATGTTCCAAATTTTGATTATATTTATGAGACATGTCACTTTCTAAAATTTATAAATAGAACTCTATTGCTTTTATAGACAGAGGCTAGGACCTTAGCTTAAGATTTAAGAGAGGTAAGAGACATGAGGAATCTCATAACTCCACCCCACCATCGACATAAATACCACATGACTATACTCCTATGATCATCACGATGCTTTGACCACCATCGTCCAACTTCAATCTTTTAATCACTATTTCTTATCTACGGTCCTCTGGCCACCATCGCTTTATTTCAATCTTTTGATCACCATTCATTGACTACGTTCTCCACCAATGTCGTGCTCTTACAATCCTCCAACCACAATCCTCTGGCCATTATGACTTGACTATGGTCTTCTGACCACCATCTTCCAACCATAGTCATCTGACCACCATTGCCCAACTACAATTCTTTAACCATCATCACATAACTACAGTCCTTCGACCACGTTCACACGACTTTGGTATTTTGACCATCATTGATCGAAAATGGTCCTCAAATCACCATTGGCCTCCTATGATCCCTGATGCATGACTACGATCATTTAATTATCACCACACAACCACAATCACCTAACTACTATCTCCAAACTTTGGTCCTTTAACCATCATTATTCGCTTAGGTACTCCAACCAATGTCGGCCTCCTACGATCTTCTGAATACCAAAGTGATGTAGAACGGATAGGAGGATTGAAAGTAGGATCTCCTTAGCACTTGAAAAAACTTCCAAGTAGCGGTAGGAACGAATTCCAAGTGCCCTCCCGAAAACCTGAAATAATTCCTTCTAAAAATCTGAAATATGTTCAGATTTCTTTCAGAAATCTAGGGGGAAAACTTCAGTTTTGGTGTTTAGAGGAGGACTTGAAGTAAGAAGAGCTGGAAAATCAAACCCAATAGGGAAGTGGAGGTGGAGAGGAGAATTGGGAGAGAGAGAGAGAGGAGAAGGGGCGGCGGGATCCAAGGGAGGTTGAGGGAATTCAATTCCTTGAATCCGTGAAATGAATTAGGGAAATAGAATAGGAAATAAAGTCCAGGGAGAATTCGGCTAGGCTGTGGAGCCAGATTTTTGGAAAAAATCCAAAGGTGTAAGCTGCAGTTATGGAGAGATTTCAAAAACAAATTAATGCACTATCCCGTGAACAGATTTTGAGGAAATCAACGAAGGGGGAGGCGGTGAGCTGAGAGGAAATTAGGAATTATTTTCTAATGTTTATTCTCAGAGATTTGGAAATTAATTAGAGGCTTTTGGCTTTAAGATTTCGGCTACCAGGAGGTGGGAGTTTTGAATTTATTCCAAAGGAGGAGATGGGATTTAGGAAATATTTCCTAGCCCAAATTTAGGAAAGGGGGCCGGCGGCTTGCATGAATAAGGGGGCATTGAATGAACTGATTTAAGACTTCTAGATTTGAATTTATGAATTAGGAAAGTGAGACAATAAATCAGATTTGAATTTAAATTTCAAATTGATTTCAATTAAGCACTTTCCAAAAATAGGTGAACTAAATTAGGAAAGAAATTTGAATTTCAAATTTTAAACAATTTGAATTTCAAATTAAGTCTTAATATCATGCACCCCAAATTAGGAAATCCAATGAGAGAGGAGAAAGAATGAGGCCGGTGGCAACGGAGCTAGGTCTAATTTAATTTGAAGGAATGAATGACTCATCTCCTTGCAATTCAAATTTGAATTTTGAATTGGAGAGTTAAAGCCTTCTAAATATGGATCAAACCCAATTAGTAAAGATTTCAAATTTGAAATTTGAAATCCAAAATTGTAATTAATTTTCCCTCTCAATTTTGCCAACCCAAATTGGAAGGAGGCATGGCTATGGGAAGAGGAGGGGGTGAGGTGGCCGGAAGGAGGGGAACGGTGAAGAGGATGAAGATAACGACGAATAATAATAAGAATGAACAAAAGCAAAAGATAAAAGATAGAAGATAAAAACCGCGAGCCTTGGACTCTTCCGAAGACTGACAGGTGATGCTTTGCCCTTCTCCAAGGGACTTAGTCACGAGCCCGGACCCATCCTGTGACTGGTGAAAACTCTGATTCCTTCCCAGAGGAATCTCACTACCATCATCTCAAAAGAACACAAGTGTTGAACAAAAATTTTTAATATCAATAATCCATCCCCTAATATAATAGCTTAAGGCCCTATATATAGGCCACAACATAAGAAAACTCAAAATACAAAATTGCCCCTTGGGCCACAATACTCATATAAATCAACCTAAGGGTAAAACAGGAAATACATCAAATAAAAACTAAATTCAGAAAAAATAACTCATAATTAAAGATTTAAATTATAGCCGTCGATTTACGACGCCTCCTGTGATAGATGCGGCCAAATCTTCAATACCGGATGTTCACAATCATTTTCCCCTCAGGTGGGAAGAATACTCGACTCCGATCGTAAGTAGCAATACAACTGTCTCATGCACAACTCTACGGTATTGGAGTAAATATGTATCTCTCATCCCGAAATGGCCAATAAACCGATGGCTTCTTTGTGCAACGATTTTCAAAACAACCCGGTTGCCAGACAAGGATCCACTTTGATCTTGTTGCACTTTGAAGCTCCCAATTTCTTAACCAATAGTCAAGAGAGATTACCACTTCCAAACTGTCGCACTTCTTTTGCTCTGCTAGAGAACTTGTTCTTCTCAATAGATGGCTTCTCTAGCAATAATGACAATATTGAATGTGTCTATCGAGCTTTCATCAAACATTCTCGTTAATAAGAAGTTTTACAACTTGGGTCAAAGAAACACTTTTTACATTCTGAGGAGTTGTAATGTGAATCAACCACATCTTTCTTCTGCATTATTTGCAGTCACGCATTTCTCCTTGTCACCCAATTCATCTTCTTCTTCATGTTCTTCCTTGATCACCTTATATTTCTCTTTGATTTGCACAATGAGTGGGAAATTGAAAGCTTCATTGGCCTCCAATCATTTGTCCAACTCTCTCCTGTCTCTTAGTGGCTTTTTCTAATCCTTTGATGAAGGGAGTTTTGTGTAAACGGTGGGTTAGTCCTACATGCCTAAGGTTATTGAATCATTCGATTGTTTGACGGTAGAAGGTCGGCTAAAGTTCGCTTGATTCTCCTTGAGATGTTGACTAATGGGGCCCATTTGACCTACCAACCAGTTTAAAGTCCTTCAAGTCGATTCTGAGTCCATACTCTGATCCAACTGATGTAGAACGTGGGGTAAGGAGGATTGAAAAGTAGGATCTCCTTTAGCACTTGACAAACACTTCCAAGTAGCGGTAGGAAACGAATTCCAAAGTGCCCTCTCGAAAACCTGAAATAATTCCTTCTAGAAAATCTGAAATATTGATTCAGAGTTTCTTTCAGAATCTAGGGGAGAAACTACTTCAGTTTTTGGTGTTAAGTAGGAGAAAGGATTTGAAGTAAGAAGAGCTCGAACAAACACCAATAGGGAAGTAGGAGTGGAGAGAAGAATTGGGAAGAGAGAGAGGAAGAAGGTGGCGGCGGTAATCAAGGAGGCTGAAGGATTCAATCCTTGAATCCATGAAATGAATTAGGGAAATATAATAGGAAATAAAGTCCAGGAAGAATTCGGCTAGGGATGTGGAGCCAGATTTTTGGAAAAATTTCCAAAGGTGTAAGCTGCAGTTATGGAGAGATTTCAAAAACAAATTAATGCACTATCTCATGAACATATTTTGAGGAAATCAACGAAGGGATCCTACTTTCAATGTTGAAAATTAGGAATTATTTCCTAATGTTTATTCTCAAAGATTTGGAAATTAATTAGAGGCTTTGGGCTTTAAGATTTCGGCTACCAGGAGGTGGGAATTTTGAATTTTTTTCAAAGGAGGAGATTGGATTTAGGAAATATTTCCTAGCCCAAATTTAGGAAAGGGGGCCGGCGGCTTGCATGAATAAGGGGGCATTGAATGAGGTGATTTAAGACTTCTAGATTTGAATTTAGGAATTAGGAAAGTGAGACAATAAATAAGATTTGAATTTAAATTTCAAATTGATTTCAATTAAGCACTTTTCAAAAATAGGTGAACTAAATTAGAAAAGAAATTTGAATTTCAAATTTTAAACAATTTGAATTTCAAATTAAGTCCTAATATCATGCACCCCAAATTAGGAAATCTAAGGAGAGAGGAGAAAGGATGAGGCCGGTGGCAAGGGAGCTAGGTCTAATTTAATTTGGAGGGATTAATGACTCATCTCCTTGCAATTCAAATTTGAATTTTGAATTGGAGAGTTAAAGCCTTCCAAATATGGATCAAACCCAATCAGGAAAGATTTCAAATTTGAAATTTGAAATCAAAAAATTATCATGAATTTTCCCTCTCAATTTTGCCAACCCAAATTGGAAGGAGGCATGACCATGGGAAGAGGAGGGGGTGAGGTGGCCGGAAGGAGGGGAACGGTGAAGAGGATGAAGATAACGACGTAGAACAATAAGAATGAACAAAAGCAAAAGATAAAAGATAGAAGATAAAGACCGCCAGCTTTGGACTCTTCTGAAGACTGACGGGTGATGCTTTACCCTTCTCCAAGGGACTTCAATTCACAAGCCCGGACCCATCCTGCGACTGGTGAAAACTCTGATTCCTTCCCATATGAATCTCACTACCGTCCTCTCAAAAGGACACAAGTGTTGAACACAAATTTTTAATATCAATAATCCATCCCCTATTACAATAGCTTAAGGCCCTATATATATGCCACAACATAAGAAAACTCAAAATACAAAATTGCTCTTTGGGCCAGAACACTCACATAAACCAACCTAGGGGTAAAACAGAAAATACATCAAATAAAAACTAAAATTCAGAAAAATAACTCATAATTGAAGATTTAAATTATAGCCGTCGATTTACGACGCCTCCTGTGATAGATGCGTCAAATCTTCGTACCGATGTTCGTATCAATTGTTCAACTACGATCCTTCAACCACCATCGCTCCACTCCAATACTCCTACCATTGTAGCACAACTACGACTGTCTGACCATTGCCGTTTGGCTACACTGATAATCATTAAATTGTCACCTATTGTAGCCCATAATGCTTGTCATCGCTTATAAAGTCATGCACGACATTAACATCAATTCTAATTCCCAATATTAAAACCATAATTTATGCTAGTCTTCTTAATATCTGATCTCCCCTCAAAATAAAAAAAAACAAACAAATAAACAACAAATAATCTTTTGAAAATAACTCTCTTGACATAAGGCTATTCCAACTTTCACCAAAGAATTTGTTCTTCACAATTTTATGTTATATTGCATCAACCCCTTTCCCAATCAAGGGAAATGATATCATTTGTAACTGATGACAAATAATAGTACAATCATTTCAATTGTTTAGGCCCCATGGTATTCCTCTTCTGTAGGTTTTTCACATAAAAACCACCTTACTATCTCTTCCCACCATTCTCTTATCCGAATGTGTGATCGATCTTTGTATAATGCTCAGACATTAATCTCTCGCTCTTTCTACTGCAACAATGTTTTGACATGCAATAAATATAATTATAGAAAAAAATATGTTTTTAAGAAAACAAAAAAACAAAAATTATGAATAGAAAGAAATGTCTTGAAAATTTGCTTCACTGTGCATTTAACTTTCATGCTTTGAAATGCTTCCCAGCCTACACAAAATTGCCCATCTACTTGCCAAAAAAAATAAAAAATTTGTCATGTTTCATCCACTTACAACAGCAAGCAGGACCTGTCTACAATGGACTCAGTCAATTCTGAAAGTCATGGCTGTCTCTTTCTAGCAGTATCCTAACAAAGGAAGAGTCAGTGATGCCTTTAACAGAGCCTATGAATAGAAGCCATTGTCCCAGGGGCAGATGGTTAGCTTTTTAGCCCAATTTCCATCTTTAAGCTGAGTAAATGAGATGATTGAACGGACGCTTAGGGGGTGTTTGGTATAGGATTGGATTCAATTTTAATAGGATTTATTAAATCCTGTAAATCCGGGTTTCATATATTATAGGCTCATAAATCCTGAAAAGTGTTTGGTATGACAACTTTTAAATCCTGTAAATCCAGAGAAGTTGTTTGGCAACAGATTACACGAGCGCTGCAGGAAGAAGTTCCGCAACTCGTTAAATTTGAATAGGAATGAGATTAGGATTTAGACGGATTTACTGGATTTATGCAGTAAATCATGGATTTACGGTTTTGCCGGATTTACAGCGGCGCGGATTGCGTTTGGCTGGATTTACGCTAAATCATACTAAAAACAACAGGCAAATCTGATACCAAACACGCCCTTAGCCTGATTAATCCTTTGGTAATGAAAGCCTCTTACTCACCATTTTCTCCTTGCTTTCTCTATAGGATCCTCCAAGTAATCACTGACTGTGATCCAATGAACTTAACGAATTCCAACACCAGCCTTCAAGAAAGATAGATCACCAATAGTCCCCACAAGAACAAATCCCATCCTCAAACCGATGAAACCTACGATTATCCCTCAAAATAACAGTCCTCCCCGTGCATTTTGTCAAATACTTTATAGCATTATGACAATCACCACACACCCTCAAATTCTTCATCACCCTTATCGGCCGCGGCGGAGCCACTGCAAGCAACCCAAGCCCAATCGCCAGCCTCTCACTGTGATAACCAACGCTCCTCCTCTTCTCCTCGCCATCAACATCCCTTCCAACCCAGCTCGTGTCTGCCACATACCCCATTGCTTCCATCTTCTTCCCCACCTCCTCCAATACGCCATATATCTCCTCCATCCTCGAATGCGAACGATCGCCGGAAACAAAGGTATGAACTTTTCCTTGATCGAGCTCCAACCAGCTCAGCCCAGTCTCCTTCCTCACCCCTCTATCCCTCATTGCTTTCCGAGCCTCTGCTGCCTCGGCATAGCGGCCTGCGGTTGCATAGGCGTTCACCAACAGCATATGCGCACCAGAGCCCTCACAACCAAGATCGAACACCTTGTCTGCGGCATAGGCCGCAGTCTCCATGTCGCCATGGAGGCGGCAGCCGGTGAGCAGCGCACCCCAAACTGATTCAGTTGGAGTCACGGGCATGGATTCAATGGTTGCGATGGCTTCCTTGAGCTTGCCGGCGCGACCAAGAATGTCAACCATTGCGGCGTAGTGTTCTGAATTTGGTTCGATGCCATAGTTGGACATCAGGGCAAAGTAGTGGCGGCCTTCGGAGACAAGGCCGGCGTGGCTGCAGACGGTAAGGAGGCACAGGAAGGTGATGAAGTTGGGTGAATGAGGGCAAAGGCGCTGCATCTCCTGGAAACGGTTGAAGGCGAGGCTGCTGTGGCCGTGCTGAGCGGAAGCCATAAGCACGGCGTTCCAGGCGCCCAGGTTTCTCTCCGGCATTTCGTGGAACACCTGGTAGGCATTGTCCACGAGGCCGCATTTTGAGTAAAGCGAAACCAGTGAGCTGCCAACGAAAGGGGAGACATCGTAGGCGGTCTTGAAACAAAGGGAGTGTACCTGGGGAAAAATTATCAGAGAGGGCTGAGTATTTAGCTTGAAAGTGTTAAGACTTGTCAATGAATGGATACCTGGGAGCCGAGCTCGAGGAGGGTGGCTGCGGCGCACACACGGACGATACATGAGAGCGTGAAATCATTGACGCCGCAGCCGCCGGGCTGAAGAGCGGCCCGGAAGAGGTGAAGGGCTTCGTGTTCCAGTCCGGCGAACTGGGCGTAGCCGTAAATAAGTGCTGACCAGGAAACAACATTTCGTTCAGGAATTTCGTCAAAAAGCTGGCGGGCGTCCGCCAAGCGTCCACATTTGGCATACATGTCAAGCAGAGAGGAAGCAGCAAAGACGTTGTAGGGAGAAAGAGAAAACTTTAACGCGAGGGAGTGGAGAGCAGCGGAGGCTGATGGATCGGAGATAGTGGCGAGGGACTTGGCGGCGGATGGGAGGGTGCGGTCACAAGGGGGAAGGCCAGCGGCGAGCATGCGGCGGAAGGTGAGGAGGGCGAGGGAGGGGAGGGAGTTGCGCGAAAGGGAAGATATGAGAGCGGACCAGGAGGAAGAGGTTGGGGAAGGGAGGTCGAGGAAGGCTCGAAGGGAGAAGAGGGGGAGGGAGCACCGTGAGTAGAGGGTGATGAGGTGGGTGGAGAGGATGAAGAGAGGGGAAGAAGGGGAGGAGGAGGGGGTGTGGCCGGATTTGAGTAGGTGGGCGTGGAGTTGTTGGCCACGGGGAAGGTCGCCGGCGGCGGAGAGAGAGAGGAGGAGATTACAGAGGGCGTGAGGTGTAGGGGAGGGATGGAGATGGAGTGCCATCCAAGGAAGGAGGCATGCTCCATGAACGATATATCTTAAATTTAATAGGCTAATGTTTTATTTGATTTTTAACCTAATTGAACACATAAATATGTGCATTCCAATATATTTGTTGCGGGCTAGAATATACGCGGCGATAGAGTTATAATTCTACGTCTTAGTGTTGCACGGATATCCAGCTCACACACAGAGAACACAATATTTTTTACGTGGAAAACCCGGAAAGGGAAAAAACCATGGGGCCTAGCCCAGTTGAAAATGATTCCACTA